CAAATTTCTTAAATATATTTTATGTCAAAATATATTGTAAAGACTACACTTAAACTCTCTTAAACATTTACTACTCCAGGTCAGTTCACTAAACTCTCATCCTCTGACGAATCGTTGAACCCCAGTACTTCGTTGTACTAATTTTTACCACGTTTTTATAAACTTGTTTTCTTTGTTTATTTCATTTTAATTTGCACAAATTTACGTAAATATGTATAAGCACACTATTTAGTTTGCTCGATTTGTAAACAAAGCGGTGAAAAATATACTATTGTGAACAACATAAACGAGCGAAGTTCACAATAGCGCTATTCTTCATCGAATGAGCGCCATAATACCAAATGAAAATTCGTTCGATCAGCACTTTCGACCACAGTCGAAGATCGAATGTAACTCATAATAGGGGCCTAAGTTAAGTAAAAATTTTACTAGTTTTTGTTATTTTTCTTTTGTGCATTTAATGTTTATAATTTTTTTATAAAAGTCTAGCACATTACATAACCAACACCACATAATTCCACATTTAACCCTCTCGTGTATTTGGCCGCCTACAGACGGGCATTACTTAAATGCTTTTAAAATATAAATGTAAAATTTTAGCCACAATTTGAAGAAGAAGTCCATTCAACTGTGTCATTTACTTCATTTTTTGTATAAATACTACATGGTAACGTTCTAACTCTTCACATTTGAAAGATTAAATACAAAATAGGCTGCAATTAGTGCGAAAAAATTATTTTGCGAAGTATGTGGTTTTTTTCACTAATTAAGACTATGTATAGTTGGAATATTCTATTAAAAAATTCTCGTAAGTAGTCTGAGGTATGCAGGAGTGAAAGAAATATTTACATTTTGATTGTTTGCCTGTGCTACCGGTTGTGCGCCGTCCGCGAAAACCGTCTGTAGACAGGCATATGCAGTGTGGTACAAACAATTTTTTTCAGTTTTTTTTAAATTTCCACTTTTGGATGAACGAATTAATTTTATCTCTTTATTGTCATAAGAAAAATAATTCTGATTTTATTGATCACTTTGTGCTCACACTAAGCTTTTATTTACAGCTGACTGCATAGGTGGCGGGGCAAAAGTTTACAGCTGCCTGAATAGGACCGCCCACAGGCGTGGTACCAGTTTTAGGACTGTAGGTTTATTTTCGGGGTCGAAGAAAAAAATTAATGTGCATTTAAGTATTATGGGCTAAATTTAGTTCAAAAATTAAAATCTTCTATGCAGCAGAGAGTTAAAACTTCGTACAAAATATATAAAAATTCAACAAATTTTACACCCAAAACTCTTACACTTTTTATTCCGATTTTTTAGAAAAATTAGGGTGCATTAAATTTTAGTAGGTTCAACTGAAAATTTTAGGACTCTAAAGAATCGCGTGGATTTTTTATAATTTTTTTGGCTGCCGGTGTTGTGCATTTTCCTCCATTTATATGGAAGAAAATTACTATTTTTTAAATGAAATCCACGATTTTTTTTAATGCAAAACTTTATAATTACAATTTTTGCCATTTAATGCCTAGTGGAAGTCAATCCACCATTAGACTTTCATAAAGAATTATTAAAAATTAAATAAATAAACAACCAAAACCCAAAACTTCTCGACATTTATTAAAAATTAAATAAATAAACAACCAAAACCCAAAACTTCTCGACATTTTGTGTTTCTATTCTCATTCAATTCTCTATTCTACCGCACGTAGGGAAGTTGTTGGAAAGTATGTTTTCTACAAAAATTATAATATTACAAAAAGTAGTTCGCAGATCTCGTAATATCATGCGATGTAATATTTTAGAATATAAAATATCTACGAAATATGTACAACTTTTATTTTTGCTTTTGGTTGAAATTTTTTGGAAAATGTTTAAATGCATGTATTAGATATACACACATACATACATACATATCGATGGTAATCTGCAATAACGACTCAACTCCAAATTTCATGTGTTTGAGTCTAAGCCTTACTAAATATTTATAAAGCAGTCATAAATAAAATGACCGCAGATAATCCACAATAATGACGTTCCAAGACATATTGCTAAATTATGAAACGCAAAAACGTTAATTTGCTTTATTGAACAGAAAAGGAATTGATGGGATCAAAAAGAAAGGCCATTCTTAGCCATACTGACAACAAATTTGTCAATGCGATCAACAAAAATTATTTCATCTTCAAAGAAGTAGTAAGGAAAAATATTGATATTAAATTTGGGGTAAAGCGGTTAATCCTTTTAAGCACAATATTATTCGATTTTCTGCCTTGCTTTGCATTGAGTAAGTAACTGCTTATACCAAGCAGTATAAAATCATCATAATAATCAGATTTTTTCAAGTATACATATGTATGTATGTAAATCTATTATTTGCTAACAATACTCATACAATAGTTAAGCACGTAATCGTGTATTTGAAGCGTATGGAGGAATTCGACCACTTACCATGCAAAGCAAAAGTTTAACTATTGTTCCGGTTTTAGTTTAACCTGTCATTTGTCTTGCCAAAAGAATAAATAAAGTTCAACTCGTAAAGGTCATGAAAAGTGTGAGTATTCGTACATTGCTCCTTGGTTAAAAAGACCTACAAATCAAAATAAAAATATGGTTAATCATGTCTTTGACATACTTCAAGGCACATTGGGCATACAAATTCATATGATGCCGTGTCTAAATAACAATAAACTGCATAAGCCGTCAATAACTGCCATATGCGAAGATACATATGTACATACTTGCATATCGTTTCGAAAAAAAAGGAGTTAGGGCGTTTCTATATTAAGGTAACAATATGTACCCAACAGGGCCAGAAACGCTACATTAGTTCTATTGGAGCGCTCCATATTCAGCAGTAAACACTCGCTTCCTAATTTCATACTTCATTGTATGGGCGCGTTCAGAAATGTATCAAGCCAAAGCATCAGTCTCTTTCATTTCTAAAGTATAATTGATGGAAATGTCAAATATGCGCAACCACGGTTAAAAACCGAATTGGAACTTAGTTGCTCAAATAAAAGATTTCCATCAATTATAGTTTAGAAACAAAAAGACTCTGATGCTTTGGCTTGATTTCTGAACGCACCCTATTTTAACATTGTGTGTCATTAGAAAGAAGCGCTCCCTTGCTGCTCCCAAATGAGCCCTTGGTGAGCGCTTCAACTACAGCATATAAAAAGCGATGCATGCAAATTTAAGTTTTTATATTATATATTTTCTTTTAATAAAAGATTGGCGTTTTTGTAAACCATTTGATGCTTTTATTAAGTGTACTTATAAAAATGTTTTTTTTTCTTTTCTATGTGGTATACATACGAAAATACATACACACATACATGTTTGTACATAAATTAACTTTTTTGCAAAAGAAAATATTTTATGTTACTACTCAAAATGATATTTATGTATTTCTGAGCATTGTTAGAAATATAAAAATGTATTTCTTACTTTGCTTTTGTACAGCACCGTACTAGCTCCTTTGGGCAGCAGTTAACTTTCAGTCCCGTTGGGTATGAACTATATGTATGTATGTATGTATATATGTATGTATGTATGTATATATGTATGTATGTATGTATATAGTATACATGCTTACCTATCGTACATGTTTTTAACAATTGCTTTAATTCAAAAGGAATTTTTAATATTATGTGCTAGTAATGTTCACAGATCATATTTTAACTTCGTTGCAAGAGTTGAAGCAGTTTTTGTAATTTTTTACAAAAAAACACAGTGAAGACTCCCTTCCCCAAATTATTAAAATGCACTCATACATTCGAAGACATGAATGGATGAAGGTGATACATATGTCACAATTTCGAAATTTCGCTGTTTTATGCAAAGAGGAAGATGCCATAAGCATATAAAGATTTCTTAGCCGTAAATGATGAAAATTTTAGAAAATAACTACTTCATGCGATACTCAAATTAATTTTAGGACATATCACCTTCATCCATTTATGTCTTCATTTAAAGTTAATGTACTTTTAAAGAACGTCATATGGAGCCCATTAATTACGTGTACTGTCTTTATTACGAACAGAATAATTGACAGGTGAGGGCGGATGTGCTTTCGCTGGTCGATACTCTGGCGCAAAGATCATTAAACTTTTGCCAAATAAGTTTGAATTGTAATAATTATAGTTTTTGTTTTGCGTGTACTCCTTATTTGTCAATAGTCAATATTTTATGTATTATTGTTTTTACTTTAACGGTTTTATTGTCGTCCCACTTAAGGCGAGCTAATGGGGTTAGCCTTGATATTGAACCTTTATAGTTTTAATGTGCATACATATGTACATATGTATGTAAATGTGCGGTGTCAGGTATAAAAATGGTAACTCCTTTTTGATTTCTTGTTTAAATTAAATTTATGCTCAGATGTACATACATACATACATAGTATGTAGGTAATACATAGCTCTGACAACAAGTTGCCATAGCAACCTACGGCCTGCTTATTTAGTAATAACAATAGTTATTTCGTAGTTTTTGGTATGTACATATGTATTGTGGCGAATACTGCGGCAACACAAAGCGAACAACGAGAAATAGGCAGAATGTTCGAAGAATGACGTAGAATGTTCCACAAAGAGAAACGTCAAGTTGGATGAACACTGCGAACAGCGAGAGAAAGAGAATGAGCGATAAACTTCAGAATGTTCTAGAGTTGCCATAAGTGCCAGCGCAGGTATATAAGGGCGCCGCCACCACGAGGTGAGTTAGTTACGGAGTTACAAGTCAGCAAGCTACAAGTAAAGTGAGCGGAGAATCGAGTTGCGAATAAGCAAGCTATAAGTTTAATTGTGTTAACAAGTAGTAAAGCGTTGTTATTGCTTTAACAAGTATTGTAAAGTGTTTTTACTGTATTAGCAAGTATTGTAAATTGTTTGTTGTACAATAAAGTTAATTGTACTACAATTCGGTCATCGTTAGCATTTATTTAACAATCCAGCGATACGAGCCCGAGTATATTTGGGTACTCCCTCAAGGTTTCGAGGATAATCGTAACAGTATTATGTACATACCTCATCACTTTATTTCTAAAAAGTGAAGCTATAATATTTAAATATAAAACACATCGCAAATTCATATATAGGGTGTCCTAGACCACTCGTCTATCTCCTTTAAAAATTTATTATTGAAAACTGTTTATTATTGAAAACACACAAAAATATTAATCACCAAATCGGGGATGTCTCTTGTCTTTTGGTACTATTATGGACTTTCGGTTTCACCACGATGTGGCTTAAACTGACCGGTAGTCCATCATTTTTTGTTTATTTAGCTGTAGGTTGCTATTGAAATAGGGATAATGGCACTTTAAAATTTATTTGGCTTACCTCTTTTATATGGAATGACCCAGAGCAACAATGGTGGCTTTGCTTTTACCTGACGGAGAACGACCACTATGAGGAAAAAACCTTATCTATCATATGAACAATTTTAGAGGTTACCTCTAGCTGCGATATTAATAAAATAGTAATTTGACATTTGGTCGAGCTCTTCTATTAGTGCGTCTTGGTTGTCGTAACACAAATGGAGGGACCTTCAATTTTACGGTGCCTTCGATCGGCAAAACTTCTTCATGGCAGAAATACTGGCCATTTCCAGCCGGGGAGCGACCGCTATTAAAAAAAATCCTTTTTTTTGATGTTTGGCCCAGCGACCAATCCCTAGTCTTACCAAGTGGTAGTGTGCACCCTCTAACTACTATGTAGATAACGGCGTTCAACATAATAGCAGCAAAATTTGAAATGATACTGCTGGCAACTTATGTTTATTTTATTGTTAATAATTTTCATTTAAAATATGGGCCGATCTATGTATATCAGATACCACATAAATAAAAGTTTCAAAGCTTATACAAGTTTCAAAAAAATTAATCAAACTTAAAAAAGTTGTCATCAAAATTTCAAACTTTTTAATCTGAAACTTTAGAAAATTTTAAGTTATGCAGTTTTTTAGCCCATTCAATTACCGTTGCTTTTATAGAATTTTTTTTTTGTGTAGGGTGTTGCGCATTTTCTTCCATATAAAAGTAAGTTTTGTTCATGCTTTCGGTTTTTGTTATCAAAAATCTTAAGTTTGGATTTTGAAAATGTTTGGCCAGATTCGCGTTTGGCCTAGAAAAGTTATTTTTAGCTCGTTTAAGATATTAACCCCAACTACCATCATCACCTCCAACTTCTAAGATCTCTTCGATCTAAATTATTCCCACCAACTTTAGAAAGAGTATTAATTCCTTAACCAAGCGCTTATTTTTTTTTTTTATATAATCACCCAATAAAAAGTATTTCCCAACAATCGTGACAGCTTAGCAACTGCGCAGCCTTATCACGATTAGACAGATTTTTGTATTTCATTTTGACATTTCAAACATTTGATCGCAAAAATCATTGTTTAGCGGGTGCGGTGCAATTTTTCTTGAATTATTTATAACAAATAAAACAACGTGAACATTATACACACACAACGCTTTGTTTAAACACTTTTTCGG